TTGGTTGTTGTCTCCTTAGCTGTACATAAACTTTTCAGTTTAATTAAGTTCCATTTCTTTATTTTTGTTGTTGTTGCAATTGCCATGGCAAATCTGATGACTTTCTTGTAACATAATTTGATACCACTGACATTAAATTTATAAGAGACCATCTTTCCCAGAGTGCCTCAGACCATATTGCTCTAAAATAGTCATACTAATGTTTTTCTTACTTTTATTATTTTAATGATTTGGTAAAGCGACTGAATCTCGTATAAGCTTTTGGGGGCATGTGTGCAAAGTCTTATTCAAACTGCATTATTTGTGAATGGAATGTCTTGCAATATGAATATTGATATAATGTACAAAGGGAGATTAAAAATTTTCAATGATTATCCTAAAAAAAGGTTAATTGTATGTATGTATACTTTGCCATATTAAAAATACAAAAACAAAATCACAGGAGGTCCAAGAGCTCAGGCTGGCAGACCTTTCCCACACACACTCAGGTGCTCACATGTGAGTGCCGAGGCAGATACGTGTGCCAGAAAGCAAAAACAAAAATGAAAAACAATTAATTCTATCTCAACCAGTGACCTGTTATACAGAAGGAAATCTTTTTTTTTTTTTTTTTAGACAGAGCCTCAAGCTGTCCCCCTAGGTAGAGTGCCGTGGCATTACAGCTTACAGCAACCTCCAACTCCTGGGCTCAAGCGAGTCTCCTGCCTCCGCCTCCCAAGTAGCTGGGACTACAGGCGCCCGCCACAATGCCCGGCTATTTTTTGGTTGCAGCCGTCATTGTTGTTTGGCGGGTCCGGGCTGGGGATTCGAACCCGCCACCTTAGGTGTACGTGGCTGGCGCCTTAGCCGGTTGAGCTATAGGTGCCGAGCCCAGAAGGAAATCTTAATGTTACTAATGTTTACCATGTTCAGAATAAAACGTCCTTCAAACTAAACAAATTGCTCATTAGCTGAAGAAAGGTATAGGGATGTTTGGAGTCAGCAGTCTAAATTTTCTCACATCTGGGTCCAAGTCACTGATGTCTAAAATTATCTGAGACTATGTCCTACCTCCTTCCTCTTTTTTGAAAAGCCACTGGTCTCCTACTGTACATTTGCCGAACAAGTCACAAATCTGCATTTTGCCATTCACTGGAAGCCCTTGTATTCCCATGGGCCCACGCCATCATTGCCATAGCCCCAGTTCATGCAAAGCCATCCCACTCTGTCCCTCTGTCTTTCTTTCTTCTTTTCTTTTTTCTTTTCTTTCTCTTTCTTTTCTTTCCCTCCCTCCCTCCCTTCTCTCTCTTTCTTTCACTCTGGCCCTCCGAGTCCTTTTTCCTACCATCTTTCTTACTTTCCACTCTGTCCCTTCAAGTCCGTCCGTCCGTCC